ACAGTGCACAACAGCATGATCACAAAGTATCTCTGTCTCTTCTCTCAGGCATAAACCAAGTGTGAAAGAGAGCCAGCCCCGCTGGAAAGAGAACTCTTCAGGGGCTGGGAGTGTAGCACAGTGGCTACACAGTGCTTGTCTAGCATGTTCAAGGCCCTGGGCTCGATCGCCAGTGCCTCAAAAATAAATCAATAAAATAAGAGAGAGAGAGAGGGAGTGAGTGTGAGCACATGCCCTGGGCATGTGGTTGGGGATGTAGCTCAGTAGTAGGATGCTTGCCTTGTGTGAGATGTGAGCAAGGCCCTGGTTCAATCCCCAGCACTGGGGAAAAAAAAAAATCATCTTTTAAATGAAGAGATAGAGAATGCTCCCAATTCAGTGGCTTTTAGAAGTAACCTGGCAAATGCTTCCAGACCATCTCTAAATGAAAGAGCCTTCAAGCACATTAGTCTGTTTCAGCTCTTCCCCACAATCTCTTATGAGCATCCTTGTTTTCCAGGGTGGAGAGGGTAAAGTGGCTTCCATGTTGCACATCTACTGGAGTGTCTATGTTGAGATTCTAACTCTGCAAATAATCAGAGTTTCCACTTTTGTTGAGCAGCAGGCCCAGGGTCAAGGATCAAATTCACTCAGCTTTTCTTCACCTTTGCAGGGCTTGCAAGGCTGTGCAGCAGATAAGAGAGCTTTTGCTCTGTCCCTCACCATGTCTCCTCCCACTCTCCCAAGTTCAGCCTTATCAAAAAGCCCTCACCACTGGCAGACAGATCAGGGCCAACCTGAGGTAGGTGTACCAGCAGGCCTCCCACATCTCCTCCAGGGTCCCCCATTCTGCTCTTAGTGTTCCTAGCTTCACATTCAGCTGTTTGTCTCCCACAACCCTAGCCTGAATTCTGCTTTGTAAAATGCAGACCCTTCCAGGAAGGATGACTAGTTTAGTTTCTGATATCTTCATGTGATTTAGTTTATATTCCTTTCTTGACTAGAAAAAAAAAGAGCAGGAAACAAAAGGATAAAAGACAGAAAGTGAAAAAGGGATGAGGGACTGTCTTCCAGTTTGGCTCAGGGCAGACTATCTTGAGCAAGTGGATTCTGAGACCACCCACCATGAAATAAGGTGTGTCCCCGTATAGCATCTCCTGATGCTGACTTCAAAAAATAACTCGGTCTCCCCTCCCAGCCCTACCTGCCTAATCTGAATATTTGATGTGATCTAACAGTGAGATGTGATCTAACAGTGCAGGCTGCCCTCTGCCAAGTGGTATGGGTAATCTTTAGCATTCTTTGGTAGCAAAGGAAGAATCAGACTCTACTATGGAAAATACCTAATTCTGTTTTCAGTGGGGGTCACTTGCAAAAATAGCCTTAAAATGTATTTTAAAAAAAACAAACACCAAAAACCATAGCCATTTAAATGATTAAGAAAAGAAGCTGAGTCCATAAGCTTTTTTTTTTTTTTTAAATAAACAGACTTAATAGTTTGCAGGTTGGGCCAGGGTTTTTCCCTCTTTCGTTTATTTCTGAGATGTTTTTGAATCTTACCTTTAACAAGAAATTTCACACCTCCCTCTGAATTGTCATAACCTTGAATGCTGAGCTCAACCTTATTGAAGGCTTGAGGGAACGGCTTCAGGTTCTCTCAGCAAATGTAATTGTGAGAACTGAAGCCCTGGAGAATCTTCAAGCTACAAACACCATGCAGCTCCATTAGCATCCCTGATTCAGAGACCACTTCTTAAAGGCCTCAGAGGTGTGATCATGTGGGACACATCTGAACATCGTCTGGGGTCACTGGGCAACCCCAAACACATGCAGCCTGGCCGGGGGGACCATGTGTATTTCTTACCCTCTCCAGGCAGAAGGCAGCTGGATTCTAACTTACTTCAAACAGGTCACACTTGGTGACTTGGAGCGCAGACGGGGCATTGCGACGTCAAGCAGCACTCTTTCCTCAGCACTGTCCCTGCATGTTCCCTCAGCCAGGGTGGTCCTGATAAGAGCTCCGTAGCCAACAGAGAATTTTTTGCTCATGAACTGCTTTCAGTGGTGGCTCTTGAGCTCACTGGGGGGTACAGGAGCTAGAAGATGTGAAGGAGGTGAACAGGCCCTGGAGTGTTATGGTGCAGCCTCCCCATCGCCCCCCCCCCCTTTACTTTTCCTTCCTACTGTTCCCATTTGGGTGGCTTTCCTTGTTTGTCCTTTTCCCTATAGGTGATAAAATCCACTCCACCCCACACAACATCTTCAACAAGGCTGAAGAGGGGCTGGCGTGCTCCTTCTGGTGGCCATTCCTTATAAGACATGTGGGGGAGACTGTTTCCCAAATTAGCAAGAGAAGCTGGGTTTCCTTTGAACTCTGGGATGAGCTGGCCTAAAGACCTGGCTAGGCTCCCAGCCTCCCTGAGTCCCAGGGCCTGTGGGGGGTTGGAGCCATAAGTAACTAGCTCCCACTGTGGTACCAGTATGCCCAGCCAGGTTGGGCTGTGGGGCAGCGTGGGGGTGGGGAGTGGCAGGGCCTGGAATTGAGTCCCTCGGAGCCTTGGCTACCAACTCCACCCACTCAACAATTCATGGCATCTAATTGCTCTTTCCTTTTTATTTTATTTAGTAACTGGGTTCAGCCCAGGAAACTCTGGCTTCCAATCCTTGAGTGTTTTGACTCGGGCACCGTAAACTGTCTGATTTCTTGGACGAACACAATCTTGAGGAATTTTTTCTCTTTACACAATGGCTGGGCTCTGTGAATGTCATGGTTCTCCATTCAGGCCTCGGTCACTTATTTTTCCCTTCCTACAGACGTCAAACTACTTAAAATAAATATACCCTTTGGTTGGGGGCCCTTTCCTTTGGATTACTCACCTTTATCTCTGGAATTAGAAGGCATCTGCTAGCAGAGATAGGGTTTGTACCTGCTCCTGCACAGAGCTCCCACAGATCTGGGGTCAAAGAGACCCCAGATCCTGGTATTGTTGAACATAGCAATTGCATGGGGACCCTGTGCATGGGAGCAGGGCCAAGAGGACTTGGCCCCAGAGGCTTGCTGTGAGAGCTGGCCTTTCTGTGTCTTCATCTTCCCCTTAGAGATGGAAATGGACACATTAACATGTGGTTCTCAGGATGGCCACTAAGGGCCACAGGTTCATAATAACCTGCCTGCATATTTTAGACATTCCAAAGAAGTAAGATAATTGGGATGTTTATACTTCCCTACCCTACCCTCAAATTTATTGGGCTTTCCTTGCCAAAGAAACTCATCCCTGGGGACAATCAGCTGCAGTGAGCCTGACTTGCTAGGGAAAACCAGGAGGTTTTTATCTTTAGTCTAGGGGTAGGAGCAAGCCTGTCTAGTAGACTGAAGTATGAGAGTGCTAGGAACCATGTGGACACCAGGTAACACTGAATGGAAATAGCTTAGTGTGGGAAAAATCTCTGCAAACAAAGTGTTGGAGGAAGATGGAAATTGTTGGGGAGGCAAATGTGACAGCAACACAGTATGTTTCAGAGTTTGGATTTTTTGAGTTTTGAAGTGTTTGCATGTACATGAAGACATAACTTGGGGATGGGACCCAAATCTAAACACAAAATTTATTTGTGTTTCATATACATCTTATACAATTAGCCTGAAGGTATATTATACATTATTTTAAGGAATATTGTGCATGAAACAGTTTCATGTTGTGGAAATTTCTTCCATGTTGCATTATGTTGGTGCTTGAAAAGTTTTGGGCTTTGCAGCATTTCAGATTTAGATATTTGGATTAGGGTATTTAAACTGTAATAGATACCCACACAGACTCACTCTTTTAACCACTCTTTATTGAATGCTTTACTACATTTTGGGAGAAAGATGGCTAAAGACCAACAGACGAGCAAAATGTTAAGTGATGGAAGTTGTCGTTATTCAGAAAAAGAAAGTCTGCAGGGAATCCTGATAGACTGTGTGTCCTGTTTTGTGTGGAGTGATCCTGGGGCAGGGGCATCCCCGATGTCAAGCCAGACCCCGTTCCCACCCAGGCTGCTTGCTGCTCGAGATTGTTGCAACCCCACTCCTGTTGTTGAAGTAGAATATGTGGCCTGGAAGCTAGATTCTACTTATGGAAACATTCAGACTGGCAACTTGAAACTGAGTCTTGCCCAGAAAACCCAATGTGGGCGGCTAACCTACCAAATTCTAGTGCACCTTATTGTCATGGAACCTGTAATGACAGCCACATATTGTGGGATCCTATCTCACTATTAAGTGGGGGAATAAGCAGCAAGAAAGCCACCCCTTGGTCAGCATACATCTCTCTTTCAGTGCTGGGTTCTTTGTTTCCTACTGAAAAACAGTGGCCCAAACTGATCACCCTGACAGCTCACTAGATGCCTGTCCCTCCCTCTTCAGGCCCCAGCCAGCTTCTGCATTGACATCTTGTTCCTCTCCTAAGTACATGGGCTCATCCGATTGTACCTCTCCTTGTGTGAGAAGTTATCCTGTCTCACCAGGTCTGCCCAGTTATGCTGAAATCAAGAGAATCCTGTTGTGTTGAAACTGGTGCCCAGAATGCATCTCTGAGCTCCTACCCAGGTCTTTTCTTCAAAAACAGGAAGTAACCCCAGGACAGTGTTAATCAGCCCCCATACCTAAAGTTGAGATTTCATCAGAGTTCAGAAACTTGGACTAAGATATGGCACATCATTTTATATATAGACCTCTACCACCTGGCCATTTCCTTTTTGTTTCTTCCAGGCTTCTAGATTTCTCCTTCTGCTCTTATCTTCATCCTTGGATTCAGACTCAGTTTTCTTGGGTGAGACCTTCAAAAAAGGACAATGGTGGGCTTGGAGACCCACTTTCTCAAAGATTTCAAGGTCACATTATGCAAGTGGGTGGTCATTTATGGTGGTTGTAAGAAAGGATATGGCCTTGGATTTTCTTCTTATTTTTCTCTTCTTTGTTCTTTTTTCTTTCTTTCTTTATTTTTGTTTTATTTTATTTTATTTATTTATTTTTTTTGACACAGCATCTTGTTATGTTCCTGAGGCTGCCCATGAACTTCTGGACTAAGGCAATCTTCTCTCCTCAGCTTCTCAAGTCCTGGGACTACTACAGGTGTGTGCTACTAGGAATCTTTTATTTGTTATGTGACTTTGTTGATGGTTCATGTATTTCATCACTAGAGTGAAAAATACTGGAAAAATACCAGTTGTGTTATAGGAGGAAAGGTTTTGGCTTCATCTTAAGTGTTGTTCTGGGGTAGATGAAAACCCAGATGCAAGGTCTCAGGTGTCCGGTGATCAAGGCAGGAAGAAAGGCCTCTACATCTCAGCAGTGCCCTTCCTTCACTGGGTTCCTGTCCATCCTTGGTGAGACTCAGCCTGGGCCCATGGGTCTGATGGTGCAGCACAGCCCGGATAGCTGACTGGCCCCTTGTCTGCTGTCTAGGCCACATTCCCTCCCTTTCTCTTCTAATCTCTATACCCTCTGATCTCTCTCCCTCATCTAAATCTGAATTCCTTTCTGTATAAATAAGAGACTTTTTCTGTTGACAGATGGAATGAATAATGAATAAACACATTCCCTTACTCCATCATTGATGAGATATCTTTACTACCCACCCCCCATCCCCTTTGATTATCAGCTGTTGAAAAATATTAGAACATGGAAAGGAATCCAAAGATGAAATGTGTTTGGGGAGGAAAGAGGAAAAGGAGTTTGAGTAAAGACTCAACAAACCCAATTGGGTTTCCCTTTGAGATTCTATTCTTTCTCTTCCTTAGGTGCTTTGCAGAGGTGTTTTAGGGACCTGACTTTCTTTTCCCAGCTCTTTGCTGTCATCTTATCTGTCCCAAGACCATCTCTGGGTTGGGATGCCTAGTGTGTACTTTCTTGGAAATAAGCATGTGGCATTTCCTGAGGCAAAGCCTCTGGGTTCTTCCAGGCTCTGCAAGGACTTGTGGCCTGGAGGAGTGGTGACAGATTGGGTCATGCAGTTCCCTCTGTGAGAGAAGTTAAGAAAGTTTACAGCTTTGTCTTGGGACATTTGCTGAAGTCAACATTTAAGAGACACATCACATCTGATGCACCATGAACCAACCACCAAGATGTCAGATGCATAGGTTCTCAGGCCCTGAGACCCTATGGGAAATTGCCTATAGAGCCCAATAGCCTGGGAAACTGGCCTAGAGGTTTTATAGAGTGACTAATATCCTACAGGGATCAGTCCAGTCCCAGGACTTGCAATAGGGTCAGCCGACCAGCCCCTCTCTGAGCAGCACCCTTGGGATTGTTCATGTCCATCTGGAAGAAACTAGTCTCTGTGTTTCATTCAGGACTTCTTTCTCATTCTCACCTCTCACCCCAGCCCTGTGATTTACACATCATTTTATATTTTCTGTTGGGAAATCCCAAGCGTTTAATAGGCAAGTAGCGATACTCAAATATTCGAGTTGTAGTAAAAGGTGTGTGGTGGGGGAGGAAGGGGATCGAGTTGCTGTAGAGAAAATAAAGAGAAAAGGTGGCGAGGGGGTGGCTAGGAATCTGTGTCATTAAGATTTAAAAGTGTAATAGTATTTTTATTTTAATAATCCAGCCACATTTGACTCTAGATTCAACTTAATTCACCACTTGTAATATAGTTATAGAATTAGGTGAAACAGTATCACAGACACAAACTATCATTTCTTCCCCATTTAGGTCATTGGGGGCGGGTAGTCTGTTTAGATCTTTCACTGGTTGTTCCTGATAGAGGGGCTTCTTTGCCATTGTCTGATGGTACCAAATGTGGGCATGTGCTTGGTGATTTTTGTCCATAGGGTGCAGAGACTCCAAATCCCTAATCGCTCTGAGCTCCTGAGACACTAGATTTTACACTGGGTTCCTAAAGTGGATTCAGTTGTTCTTCTTCTACATTGAGGACAAGTGAAGACTGGAGCTACAAGAGGTCCAGGGAGGAAGAGTGGTGAAGTGGACATGCTCCAGTTTTGGATTAAACCCAAAATATTTTACACCCTAACTTACAGTGTGACACTATCATCCATTTGAGGTTTGTTTGCACCTATGGGAAATGTCAGTGTCTCTGAGGGTCTCATAGGTTGCACTGCAGGTTGTGATCGCTCTATAAATAGAGTCCTTATTCTTTTCTAGCAGAGTCATCTTATTTTACCCAGATGAAACTAGAATGCAGGCGGGAGTCTCCTATACACCAGGGATTTGGTTAATACTCCTTGAGGAGGATTAAATGATTTGTTCAAGGTGACAAGCCCAGAACCCAGGTCTCTGGACTCCAATTCAGGGCTCTTTAGAATCAATTTCACCTTGTGTCTTCTCTGAATAGACTTCCTCTCTGTTTTCAATCACAGAAGCACCAGAGGCACGTTGATCTCTTTTTTCCTAAAACCGACTCAGCTGAGGATGTGATGTGGATACAAGTGAGTTTAGCTCTCCTTGCTTCCTGGGAGCCAGCCGGAGCAGCTGGCTTCTCTGCCTGAAGCGCCCTGGCAGCTTGTAGCAGCTGGAAGCCGAGCTGGGGGGTGGAAAAGAAGGAGCAAAGTCCATACCAAGGAGGAACTGGCAGATAAAGCTCTCACCCCTGCAAGCCTGGCAAGTTGATAAGCCATCTTCAGAGATGTCCAGAGAACTGTCTGCCCCTGCTTCCTCGCAAAACCATGACTCAGGAGCATTGTTCACATCCTCAGGATGGCAAAAGAGCTAAGAATAAATCCTGAAATGCCGTCCAAAGAGACCCCGGCGAGAGGGAGGGGCAGGGAAGGAGGGGAACTGGAGAGGGACAAGAGCAAGGAACTTGGAGATGAGGATGCTCTGGGGCAGAAAGGAGAGAAAAAGAAAGGAGTGTGCACTTGGACAAGAGGTGCACAAAGGGAGAGGGAGAGATGGAGTTAGAACCAGAATCACAAGAGCATCTATCCCAAGAAGGAAAGTTCTGGGGAAGAGAAGATGTTAATTGCACACAAACATGAAATTAACACATTTGTTCATTTGAAATGCTGTAACCCAGACTGGATGCTTTACTCAAGGTCACAGGCTGTTCTCCTTCTGTCCCTAACTGACAGTGTCCCCACACTTGGCACTACGCTCTCTCTACCTTCCTCAGAGATGCCATAAATGTATTTAGTTATCAGTTCTCAGCTGGAGACCCCCAATCTTCACCCCTGACTTTAATCTCTGGCCTGAGGTTGGGCCAATCTTTTCAGTTGCCTGTAGCATTGGTTTTACTACACTGTTCTGAGAAGTCCTCAAGATTTGAGGGTTAGGAGAGGAATACTGAGGGGTAGTACTCACAGTACCCCTTGTTTTAAGTAGAGTATCTCCTTTTTAATTCATTTTATACATTAGGTTTTCTCCTAAGATGTTGTTTGGAAAAAGTATTGCTGCTTAGAAAGTGTGGCAGCTAATGACTTGTAGGTTGGCAGCACCTGCAAAAATTTAATGTCTCAAATTTAATGTATCCCCGCTCCCATCTGTTTCCCTGTCCCTCTACCTTTTTCTCCTTCCTTAGATACTGCGTCTGTTCTCCAGCCCCTCAGACCCAGAAGCATGATTTCCACCCACACACCTCACTCCTTCTGATGCCTGGAAAATGCCTCTTAGACTTGGCGCTTGGCATTCCTACCTGCTGGGGACCTCTTGGTCCCCTCCGATTTGGGCCTAGGTATGTGACCAGCTTCTCTTTCCTTCTCCTTTCTAGCTGTGCACCTCTGTCTAAGCTCATTTTCCCACTTGCACTGCTTTGCTGCAAAATCCCCCAGTGCTCCTGTCAATGCTCCTTCTTTCTCATTCTCACCTCTCACCCTGGAAATCCTCTGACCAGAATGCACTGGGTCCTGGCCCAGCACCCTGCAGGCTTGGCTCCTGCCTCCACCTGTCTGGGACACAGACCTCTTTTGATTCTGTTCTTCTCATCCGCCCTGGGAACACTCCCCTCTTTGAAACTATCAGTCTTGACCATCCTTTGGTTTTCCTCAAGTCCAACCTTTTATACTTCCTTCTCTGAGATCCCCCTAGTTATTTTAGTCCCCTTCTCTTCCTGAGTGCTTGCCATCTTTACAGTTTGTGATGCACAGCCTCACATCTGTTGCACACAGGTTACTGGATGCCTGGCCTGGGGCCTGGACCCTGGGCCCTGCCTTCTGCAAATGCTGGGAGCTCTTGGCCTTTGGTTCTGTATGCTCCCCTCCCTTCACTGTCCCAATTTTCCCCAGCCATAATGGGCCTCTCAGGTCTGACTCACTTGTTCTTGGGCTGCAAGTCTCAGGTGGGTGCAGGCCACATGTATGCACATCTGTGGTTGTTATGGACTTCTCAGCTTCCAAGGCCAAGACTCCACAAACAAGAGGGTCTAAGCTCCCCTGCCTTTGTTTGCCCATCCTTGGTGGAGCTCCCTTTGTACTTTCCTATTCACTACCCTGTAGTTATCCTGGCCTCTTTGTCTTTTGGACAGGCCAGTCTTCTTCTAGCCAGGCCCTTTGCCTGTGATACCTCTTTTCACCATCTTGGACTGAGTTGCTCTTAGTCATCCTTCAGCCTCAGCTCAAAATTTACTTCCAAAGGGTTGCTTTCCCAAACTGCCCAGGCTGTGTCCATGCCCCTCTTTTATGTTCCCAAAACACATGCTATGCTTTACTTTTACAACCACAATCACATGGTTACTTCCTTAAGACCCATTCCCCAGCAGGCTATGTACCACTGGGACAGGGACCTAGTTCTTCTACACTGCTTTCTGCCCTGTTCGAAGCACTAGTACCATAGATAGTTGGCTTGGAATGGAATTTTGATTCATTGAGAAAATACAGTAGAAGTACTTTGGATCTGACTTGGGAGTGAAGGGCCGGCTGGTACCAGACCCAAGGATCCTGTCTTCCAGACTCACTGCTGGAGGCTTGACTTTGCTTTTGACTTCAGCCTTTTGGTGTTGAGCCAAGGAACAGCTTGGTAAACACATCTCTATCCTTCTGCATTTTTTCTTATTAGTTGCAATAAAAAAGTAGTCTCTGGCTAAAATTCTCACCTCCTTCAATATCCATGGTATCATATATAACACATTAGAATAAATAAATAATTTTTTAAAATATCTATGGCAGAGCCTCTTCTCCAACCCCTACCTCTCCATCACTGGAACAGATTGGAGGAGCAGATGAACACAAAGATGAGACAGGAGCCAACTCTGTAAGCCTCATCTCTGGGCTAGCTTGAGAGGAGGTGGGGACAGATTTGGAAGCAGAGCTAGAAACCAAGAGGAGAGAGAAGCAGTTTCCCTAATGGGGTCTCAGAGCCCAGGGTGGTGGGGTGAGACATTGAGAAAGACCTGTGGAGAGGGGTCATATTGGGCCACAGAGTCCTACATGTGCACCCATCCACCATCCATCCATCCATCCATCCACCCACCCATCCACCCACCCACCTATCCATCCACCCACCCACCTATCCATCCATCCATCCATCCATCCATCCATCCACCCATCTATCCATCTATCTGCCCACCCATCCATCTCTCCATCCACCCACTCATCCATCCACCCACCCATCTATCTACCTACCCACCTATCCATCTACCTACTCACCCATCCATCCATCCATCCACCCATCCCTGCAACATTCCCCCAGAGTCCACTTGTCACAAAGTTCACAGTCTAGTGAGACTCAAACACCAAAGGGGTTAAAAAACCATGGATTACAAACGGACTATTAGATCATGAATGGGTGCAACCAGGGTCCTGAGCTAGAGAACTATGAGACCTCTATCTTGGACCAGAAGATTGAGTACAGGAGCAAGGGCAGGTTCTCAGACTGGTATTTCTTTCTAGCTCTATTCTTTTGGTTGTTCTGTCTTCCAGTGGCCTTCCTTTATACATCTCCAATCCACTCTCACTTTCTCCTGTCCCTATTTTCTGTGTTCCAGTTTCTACCCTGTTGGTCCTTGCCTGCCTTTGGTTTCTGTCCATCACAAAGTTTGAGATTCTAGAGACTTGCCTGTTCTTTGACACTTGGGTGTTTTTAGTGGAAGCCCTTGAATACCAGGTTCTGGGTTACCTCCCAATCACCAGATCCCATGGAGTTGGAGAATCAGCAGATACCTTAAAATTACACCTGCTGGGCCCCTGTGATCTTTTGGTTCTTTTCCTCCCTCATTCACCATCAATCAGTGCTTTTCTTGCCTCCGTGTCTTTTCTCACCTCCTGGGGTTCCCATCCTTCTGCCCCATGGAGGATGAGTGGTCTGAAGATAGAAAGGAGAGCCGTTTTCCTGGGGCAGCCCCTCTTTCCCCCAGGCACATGGGAAGACTTTGTTTAAATCCTTGCTTTTCTGAGAGAGAACAAGTTGATTTGTGGCACCATCACTTCATCCTTCCTCATTTCTGTCCTGTGCTTCTTTGTTCTGTCAGACTCATGGGAGAAGGAAGTAGGCAATTTACTTTTCCCTTTCTAGAGAAACAAGAATGTCAGGTAAGAAGAACCTTGAAACATCTGGGCTATGCTTTCTGGTATGTGGTACATAGTTCTGTTAGATTCTTTCTCCCTTTCTTTCTAAAAATAAAACACTTTAGAAGGAAAATTGCATTTAATGTTTGCATACTCTCATTCTCCACACCCATCAGCTCACTGACTCAGTTCACTGGCTGCCTGTCTTAGCAAGCCTAGGGAAGTTATGGAAATAACTTGGGCTGGCTTCAAGTTGCTGTGCAACTTTGGGTTAATTACTTCATCATTCTGAGCCTCGTTTTCTCATTCATCAAACACAGACAAAATAATAATTACTTCTCAGATTGTTCATGTGTGATAATTAAATCAATTAAAATATTTGAAGAGGCAGGCACAGTGTCTGGTACATGTTTTTCATTTCAATTATCCAGTGGATTTTAAGTCCCTCATGTTCATTTCTGCAAACTGTACTGGGACTGGATCCTACATTTGGGTGGGCAGAGAAGCAGCAGGTGGGGCTGGATAGATCCTTTTACAGACAATGTCTTGGTTCCCGTGTGGGGGCCTGGGTCTGTACTGGGGAGCGGGAGGGCCGGCAGCTAAGGCCTCTCTCCAGGAGCTGAGGCACACATTAAAGGCTGTCACAGCTCAGGAACTGGGCCCGCTGCGCGGAGCATCTGGATGCTCTTAGATCTCTGTCTGGACCCTTCTGCTTGTCTTATAGGATCACTTATCAGTGGCAGGCAGGCCAGGCCTTGGCTTTCCTCCCTGGGGCCCAGCCCCCGGCCTTCCTCTGTATAAACAGTGTTGAGCAGGGGGCAGGTGGGGCGGCTGCTCCAGGACCTGCAGAGGAGGCTCCCCTGCAGGATCTTCCTTCCTCACCGCCCTCACTCACACGCTGCCTCTTAGTGTAAACACGGGCCTCCTGTCTGGGTAGGTGCCCTTTACTAGGCTCCCCACGTGTTTGAAAGAGACATGCACAGGAATCAGAAGGAAATTTCAAAATTGTTCAGAAAGTGTGTGTGTGGAGGGAGTGTGCCCCCACACCTTCCTTTCAAAATCCTCCCAACACTGACCCCCTTCCCTCGGGATTCGGTTCCACTTTCTGATGTCAGACTCCTTCTTATGTTGTCGGCACTGATGTCTCTGTGAATCTGCGGGTGCAGGCTGATTGGCCTCCCCGGACACAGTGCCCATGCATCACAGTTCTGCTCCAAGGAGGGATTCCAGTAGGCATCTCAGGCTGGGACGTGGGGGTGGTGGGTACTGCCAACACCAGAAAGCTTTTTAGATCACTCTGGAAGAAGATCGTGGATGCTCGGTCCTCGTTTTATTTTTCCACCCTGGCAGCAGTGTGATACCGCCAGTCCCTCGTCCTCCCTGTGCTTCCTCCCTGGGTCTCAGGGTGCTACACATGCTTGGCTTCCCTCTGGCTTCACTTTCCTCTCCTTCTGCTTGTCCATTGCCGCTGCCCTCCTCCTCCTCCTCCTCCTCCTCCTCCTCCTCCTCCTCCTCCTCTTCTTCTTCTTCTTGGTACTGGGAATTGAACCCAGGAGCACTCAACCACTGAGCCACATCCCCAGCTCTATTTTCTATTTTATTTAGAGACAGGGTCTCACTGAGTTGCTGAGCACCTCACCATTGCTGAGGCTGGCTTTGAACTCACAATCCTCGTGCCTCAGCCCCCTGAGCCCCTGGGATCACAGGCGTGCGCTACCATGTCCCATTTCTTTGTTTTCTTTTCAACCTCTTCACTTTGTCAGCTTCTTGGTCCTCTGCTCTTTCCCATTCACTTCTCCTTGGTGGTCCCAACCAGGTTCAAGTCCTCAGAAAACATCTCTGGGCTGGGAACCCCACACTGGAGACTCCAGCCCAAACTCCCTTCTCCTCCACATACCTGTGTAGAGCTCCTGCAGCAGATACCTCGGAATTCACACAACCTCAACTGAGAGCCTATTCTCTGCCACACACCGCCTGGTTCCATTCTTGTCCCCCTCTGTGATTTCACTTCCACACTGCCAGTTTCTGAGGCTGAATGTGGAGCTGTGCCAGACTCCTCCGTTTCTTGAAACCCACATCCAACGTGTCAAAAAATTCTCAGGCTCTACTTTTAAACGTTATCCAGGATCCACCTGCTTCTTCCCCTCTATGTGGCTGTCTTCCTGATCTAAGCCACCTGCCTCACTTGGACTTCTGCAATAGCTGCCCCCCCGCCCCCCAGGCTCCCTGACTCCTGCTTGCTCTCCTGTCACAGAAGAGGTCACAGTGGACAGACAGGTCATGGTTCAGAAAGTGTGTGTGTGTGTGTGTGTGTGTGTGTGTGTGTGTGGAGGGAGTTGGCCTTTGCTCTTCACCTGACTTTGTCCTCTACCCTCACCTTCTTTAAGCCTTTTCTCAAAGGTACCAAATCTCCTCCACCCACCACCATTGATACAGCCTACTCTGATGGTTCTGTGTGAATGAGCAAGAGACTGGCTCTGTCCCCTCCCTCGACATGCTCTCATCTCTATTATCCTATACTCTCTTTCCCCCACAGAATTTAATTATTTCATTTACTTATTTTTCTGGTACTGGGAATTGAACCCAGTGGTACTCTACCACTGAGCTACATTCCCAGTGCTTTTTATTTTTTATTTTGAGACAGGGTCTTCCTAAGTTGCCCAGGCTGGCCTGGAACATGGGACCCTCCTGCCTCAGCCTCATGAGTCACTGACCTTAGAGGCAGGCTCTCTGCTTACTGTCTTTCTTCCCTCACCAGGCTGCAAGCCCTGGAAGGGACCTTTTTGCCTTTTCATCCCAGAACCTGGTGCTACATGACAGGTGCTTGTGATGAACACAGCATTGCTGCTGTTAGAGTCTGTGCCTTCTCACCCTCAGGCTGAGGCCTGAATGTCACTTCCTCAGGGACCACCCCAGACAGAAGAGAGACCTCCACCTCTCCCTACTGCTCTTACCCAGATTCCTTCAGAGGTCATTATTGCAATTTGGAAAGGCATATTTGTCTGTGTACTCACAGGTTTATCACCTCTCTGCCCCCTGGACTGCAACCCCATCCATAGTGTGTTGCTTTATTCCCCAGGGTCTTTCTAGAACCTGGCATAGGCATACTGGGAATAGGTGCTAAGTAGGTGTTGGTTGAATAAATGGGAGACCACTTTCGATATACTGTCTTATTTGATGGTCACAGTCATATTGTGAAGTAAATTTGATTACAATGTCTATCTCTTTGTTGTCGTTGGAGCAATTCAAGGCTCAGAGAGGTTGAGTAATTCAATCATAGACTCAGAGCAGGCGGGAAAGTCAACCTGGAGCCAAGTCTGTCTGACCAAGTGCATGTGGGTGTGGGTGCATGCACATGAGGATCTATGTTTTTTCTCTGGAGTTGCACTGTGCAGACAGCTGCTTCTCCCCTCTGGAGGACTGCCCCTGGCTACTTTATCTTGTTACCCCTAGATCTAAGCCCAGTTGGGTTAAATATTCCTATAGAGGACTCTGTTAGGCTTCCTTATTGTCATGAAACTTACCCTGGAGCTCCCAATGCCCCATACTATGAGCTCCCAGGCTGCCTACTCCCTTTTCAGCCCCATGAAGTCTGCTGCCTCCAAGGGAACAAAAGGCCCAAAGTCCTGCCCTTTGCACACGGAGTGTTGGCCTGGAGGGAATTTGAGTATTACTGCATGGCCATGCGGCCTCCCAAGCCACCTCCAAAGTGAGGGGGAGGTACAAAAAGAGTACTAAGAGGGCTCCTTAAGTGTATGTGGGGAGGACCCAAGGGCTGCTTTTCCTGAACTCATTGATAAGGAGACTGGAGAAGATGAGCACCCGCCCAGAGTCACAGTCAGACCAGCTGTGCAGCTCCTCCAGATGCCGTGACTATGGCATCAGCAAGAGCAGCAGCAGGGGCTTTTCCAGACTCAGCCACTCTTCAGGAATTCAGGATGGATCCATGGCAGCCGCAGGTGAACAGCAGTGACCACCACACTTGCTGGAGAGTACAGCACAGAAGCAGGGGCTAGGACTGGGACATACACCTGGTTTAGACATTGTGTCAAACCCATAATCTTTTAGCTGTTGTTCAACCTTGTTGGTAATGCATGGCCTAATTTTGGAAATTCATGTCTGTTCCTGTGTCTCCCCAAGGACGTAGAACCAAATGGCAAATGAAATGGACTCATTTTTGAAAACTAGTATCTATGAAACTTTTCCCCCAGTTAGGATATTGGATCCAACCATTTTGGCCCCCTTGACGTCATGCTCTGCCCCAAGCTTCTTTCAGTCTGAGCTTTTGCTTCCTGAGTAGCAGAGCTGCTTTGCTCGTCAGAAACACTCACTCTACAGGGTCAAGCTCAAGCCTGGGAGCCTGGGTATGGTGTCTGGGAAAGACTGATAGGCAGGCCTTTGAGTGGGACAGGGACTCAGGAGTTGTGAGCATGGCTGGAGTTATTATTGCCCCCCGACCTGGCATGCGCACACACATACATACATGCTCACTTAATTTGCAACAGGCAATCCCTAAGCAGCTCATTCAGTGCTGTTGCTATTCTATCAAATATGTATAGATCTAGATCCATAAATAGATCTGGTGTTTTGCTTCAAAAAGTGACAAGCATGCAGAAACGATTTCACAAACAAGCTAAAATATTGGCTGTCTTTATGTCGTTTGCTCTGATGTTGCTGGTGTCTCTGGGATTGTGCATTTTGGGGCAGATCTGCCCCAACTTTTCTGGCAGCAGCAGTCTTTGTTGGAGAGTTTTATAGTTGGGATGTTGGGATGATTTCTTCACTTGCACTAACTTTTGGCTTCAATGTTTGGGTAAAACGTTAATCTGCATGTTTTCTTAAAAAAAATCAAACTCGTCTCAGAGTGTTACTAATACAAACTGGAATCTACTGGAAAAGAGAGAGGAAAGAAAAGGAGAAAGTGATTGAGAGAAGGAAGAGAATGATGGAGGGAAAAAGGGAGAGCGGGGAAAAAAGAAAGAAAATAGGGTGGCTTCTGCCTGGGTGTGACCATAGTTTGGTAATATTCAGGGCAAGTTCACAATGACAAGAATACACCTGCTCCCACTTCTCATTCTGCTCTTACAACTACAGACCTGTTACCACATAACCGTGCACTCAGGTTCAAGGCCCAGCCTGCATTGTCTCATGATCCGATCACAAATTATGATGGACATAAATCTTGGAAACCAGTTTCTCCTCCAAACTGCAAGGGCTGCTCTGTTCAAACTGAAGAAAGTGCATGGAAGCATCCAGACCTAGATCCCCGGAGAGGGCTGTGCTCCTCAAGTCCTCCCTCTCTCAGCCTTGCGCTGCTGGCTTTCCTCATCCCCATCTATGTACACCTGGGTGTAAAGGTGGCCCCAGGGTTCATCTCCATTCAGTGTCGG